ATAAATAGCAAAGGAGTTCTAATTCTGTATGCAGAAAAGACTGTTCACTCTATCGTTTCACCGTAGTCTTAAATTCCTTCTGCAATATTAGATTCCACCATGATTAGAAAATAATTCATTATTATCTTGCTTAGTATGTTGCCTCTGTGTGCACTTAGTGTATGGGTTATGTGAGTTTAGTGGACCAATTATAAAACGATGTGAAAGAACTGAACTTTTGTCTTGAAACTGAACATCTAAACATTGCATCTCTTGTTCTTTTTGCCTCACTTCCAGGCTTCGTGTTCTTTCTCATATACCATAGTGGCTCTTGTTGGTTAGTTGACCAGTATGTGCTCTTTACTGTATTACATGTGACACCACTCCCTAAGCTTCACTAGTCTCTAAAGAAACAATATTCAAGGATAAAAGTTGGATAGCTTTCACTAACCAGGTAGAAGAACAATTTGTTTCTGACAGTTACATTCATCCAATATTCATAGATTTTCATTTTTTATGTGTTTTTATCATTCAGTCCACTTTTATTCTGGAAGATAAGTGAAAAAGACTGAATGAACCATAAAACCGACAGTTTACTATCCTCTTGGTTGTCTCTTTCAGCCTAGGAATAATAAATATTGATGAGTGAATAGAGATCCTAGTGGCATGGCACAGTTAAAAGTTCGAGAGTCCCTTTATCTTTCTCAATTACACAGAAGATACTATGGCACCATAAATAAGTATGAAGTCCTAATTCCCTACTCCAGGAAGGCTTGCTGAAGACTCACGAAGCTATCGCTAAAGACTTTTCGTAAACACCAAGAAAAGAACTAAGAATAGTGACTGTTCCCTTATTACTACATAATCCCATTAATATGGCTGATAATTAGGTTTTGTTAAGTTACTTCACTCAGGTACTTTCTGAGAATAGTAGTGCATCTTTAGTAAACTTTCTAAAGGGGTCAAAACAACCATAGATTAAGAGGGGAAACCATCTTTAAACTGTTTCTCAACCTCAATCCTGATAATTCCGGTGGTGCTGATGAATTCCACCTATGTAAGTCATCAGAAATGTCTGAGGCAATTACTGTGTCGCTGTCAGTGAGCTGCCCTAAGTAACTGTCATTAGTTTTGGTCTTTGAAAAGAAACTTATATATTCGATTAAGAATTACCATTTCCTCAGACAAATTATTATCGTTGTTAAACTACTAGAAAGAATCATCCCCTTTCTTTGTTATTCAATATGCTGAGGTAGGTAAACTTCTAACCAAGGAATAGCCTACTTTTAAGGCAAATCATTCTTACTTGAACAACATTTGTTTCACACATGTAATGCTATATTTGTGGACCATTAATAAGACTTTCAGTAAAGCTCTTTGTCCAAGTCTCCTGGTAGTTTTGGAGTCAATAAAATGGTCACGACTTCACTTAGAAGTTACCTAAGAATATGAGTAAGATTGCAATGGTTGACGAAACCTTAACATGGCGGCCACTGGTGAAGTGTGGTGTCCCTCAGAGCATGTTTCTAGGACCTGCTTTTCCCCCACTACACACAACTGAGATTCCGTTAGTAATAAATCATCCTGTCTAATGGTGTTAAGTTGTGGAAGACCTTACACAATCATATTAATTGACTTGCTTTGGAAAAAGATTTGGATTTATTCGTTAATTGATGTGGACAATGGACCTATAAAACTAATATTTTGTAGAGGTTAGTTATGCATGTCACCCATAACAGCAATGTAAAATTAATGAATTAGTGGATTTACTCTACCTACGGTCACCGAATACAAGAATTTCCGAATGGCCATAAGTCATAACCTGAGAACCTACATAACAGTTGGCTACGAAGGGTTTTAGATTATTACAGGGCTCTTCAAAAGGCTGATACATTTCGTATCTAATATAAGAGCCCCTTTTGAGTGCATGATCTAGATAGGGGGTCAAGAAGTGGGACAGATATATATTTGAGAAAGTCCAAAGAGTGGGAGGCAGGTTGACTAAAAGATACTGAAACCTATCATAAAAGGAGAAATTGAATCGACTGGATTTATTTTCAGTGTGACATAGGCTTTTTAGAAGTGACTGCATACTGGTACTCCATATTTTATGTCAAACGTGCTGCTTATTTCCTCTCCCTAAAACCGAACACTTGTGGTAACACCATCTAAAAGTTCGAAACTATGGTTGAATCGTCCCCCTCTTAAAATTCATTTCCTTTATCGAATTATGGACCAGTGGAATATGCATAAATTAATTCAAAGCAAGAATGAACCTTCAGTGTATAGCTAAATGTAGAGAATAATATAGGCTGAAAGTCTGCCATCCTCAATCATATGTAAACTGTAGATTAACAGATCATCTCAGAAGCTGGATGCTTCGAACACAATTATTCAAAAGATTTGATCACACACGATCGATTGAACCACTATATTTGTTTTGAAGATCAATTTAATTTGAAGTCAAATTGAAGTTGTTTTACATAACATATGATTAATATTTATGCGACTGTATAAGCAACATCGTTTGATTAACAGTCAAAGCCTAAGTGGTTTAGAACTGAAGTCAGTTACTTGTTTATCCAATGCTAAATTTATTTAGTCTGGCTTTATAAACTATGACAGTTGACAAACCATCACTTGAATTATGTACCAAAAGGGATCAGCTCTTAGTTCATATGTAGAAGCATGGCATACTCGCAGTGTAACAGCGTGGATTCCGACCAGGGCGATCCCGCCTGACAAACTTACCGTTTGCTACGGAAGATTGGGTCAAGGCCAGGGATAAGAACTATCTACTGGACGTTGTCTTTATCGATCTTATTAAGGCATTCGCTAAGGTATCCCATCCAGGTCTTCTTGGTAAACTCAAACGTTTTGGATTAGACCAACGCCTATGTCAGTGGTTTAGTGATTATCTGATGGATAGAAGGCAGAAGGTAAGGATCAATGGTCTACTGTCAGGGTAGAAAGCAGTACTAAATGAAGAACCTCAGGGAACTGTACTTGGCCCCTTGCTATTCTTATTATACGCAAATGAGCTGCCGAAAATTCTTACCTCTCCCTCCTCATTATTTACGGAAGATATTAAGATATAGAAAACCGTAAATAGTAACGATGATGGGTTATTATTATTATTGTTCCCTTGGGTTCCTAGTGGAACATAGGGCTTCAACTACACGCCTCCACTTATTTCTGTCTTCTGCTGTACTTTTCACCATGTTAGTCCATACTGTTTCAACTCATCTTCACACGATCTCCTCCATGTCACCCTTGGACGTCCCACTCACCACTTCCCTTTCGGGTTCCAATCGAGCACTGGCCTGACGCGCGATGTCACCCAGCGGCTTCCTCAGCGAGTGTCCAATCCATCGACACTTTCTCCTGCATATTTGTTGGTTGGCGATTGGTTCTTGTTTTGTTTCTTCCCATAGTTTCTTGTTGGTGATTCTTTCCGGCCATCTGATCTTCAGTATAGAGCGAGGACAGTTGTTGATAAAGGTCTGCAACAGGCTGTTGGAAATATTCTTTGTGACCCGCCGCCAAGTTTCTGATCCGTACGTATAGAAGAACTGACTGACTTGACGTTTGTATTGAAAATCCGAATCACTTTGTTGTTGATGCAGGCTGAGTGAAGATTTCCAGATTGGTTTCAGGTTGATGAATGTGTTTCTCGCCTTCCCGATTCTCCCTCGATTTGACATCCTCGTCCGTTCCTCCTGTAGTTGAGACAATGCTCCCTAGATAAGTGAATGAAGTAACCTCTTTCAAATCCCTCCCGTTGATGGTGATTGGCGCTGGATGCTACTGCTGTTGTTGTTGTTGTTGGTTGGTTGGTTGTTTTCATGACCTCCGTCTTGTCTATGTTCACCTGGAGTCCTGTCTTTGCTGCCAGCCTCTTCGACCAGTTTGTCGGTTTTCGCTTATAAGTAACGATGATAGGTTGGTACTACAAAACTATCTAGATAAATTAGCTGAATGGGCTAACCTCTGGAGTCTAAAAATTGATTCCAAGAGAAACGCGATAATGCACCTAGGTCACAGGTTTCACACGTCGTACTGCCTGGGGGACACTGAACTGCCGGATGTTACGGGACAAAAGGACTTAGGAATTATTGTAAGCCATGTCTTAAAAACAACACCAAATTGTAATTTAGCCGCAGCTAGAACTTTTCGAATGCTATGGGCACTTCGAAAGGCTTTCAAACGATAAGATGAGGGTATGTTCCAAGTACTCTATGCAACATATGTCAGACCTCATCTAGAATACCGCATACAAGCGGTGAGTCTATGCTTCAAAAAGGAGACACATATCCTGGAAAGAGTACAGAGGGTAGAAACCAGATAAGTTAGTGGTATCTCACACCTTCCTTATGTTAAGAGGATGGATCATTTAAATCTCTTACCATTATCATACCGAAGGATGAGAGGCGACTTAATTTTGGCCTACCGCATATTCAAGGGTGATTTAGGGATCGACCTTTCAAACCTTTTCCCTCCCTTTAGGATTCATTTACGAGGTCACCACAAGAAGGTGCTCAAACCAAGGTCGAATAAAATACGTGTGGAATTCAGATTCTCTTACAGAGTGGTCAAAGACTGGAACTCCTTACCTGATTCAGTAGTAACAGCTCCATCGGTGAACGCTTTCAAAGGGAAACTAGATCTCCGCAGAGATGTATATCGCAAGAATTAACATAGGCAACAAGAGCCTTCTATCCTTATAATTTGAATCTGAATGTGTACCCGCAAAAAGATTGTTATTTCAAAATCAATGCAAATCACTACTGAATTTTCCGAAAAACTGATGTATAAATCATAATATAACCCACCACTCTAACACTGGATGCTACTGTTGGTAACCTGAATTAGATTACCTCATACAAGCAAATCATAACCATTAGACTAAATCTTTTAAAGAGATAAGTGTTAGCTGATTGTTTTGTTGACAATAAGTATATTACTAGAAATCTCTTTTACACCGCATAAAGATCCACATTTTATAAAAGCTTACGACTCACCGTTTCATATCTCCTGCCATCCTTGAAACACGATGGTGGTTGTTCCTGATAGTCATTCGGTGAATTCGCTCCGCAACAACCAACCTAATAATAAATAGAAATTTATACCCAAACACCATACCCCAGTTTGAATCGAATCGACCAGAGCACTTAAGTCAGGATTCCTACCATACTGCCGCACAGCATCTTCAATAGCTTTTTTGAACTTCTCTTTAACCTAAGAATTCAGTGAAAATTTGATTGGCGACATCATTGTCTTACTTTGTCCTTTAACACAAGAGCTCCAATACCCCCAGCAAATTCACATAAAATAATTATAAAAAGCAATGTGGCATACTACAAAGTTGAAGATCACTAATTTAAACGTACTAAAGTGAGTTTGTAGACACTCTCATTACAAGCCCCACAACATCCAATTATTCCTAAGAAGAAAACAACCACTCCAAGAACAGTTATGAAAACGGCTAGACCGTAAATAGCAACGTCAACATCTCTTGAGTATTGATTTACAGATAAGCATGAAATTATTCCAATGGTGACGAGTGCCATTCCACATATCTATGTACATAAAATTAACTTTTGAAACTTTCAAACATACAATAACCAAAATATTGGCAATTACAAGTACAATTTGAAGGCATCGTTGACCACATGTTAGGTTAGACATATTACTAGCGCGATTTCACCTTAAGACCTTGTGATCCCGCTTCCAATGTGCAACTCAGCCTTGTGTTTGGGATTCAATATCCAATATGACTGTAGCGGTAAATAATTCCCCAAAATTATTGACCACAGCAATCATCACTCAACATTGGATGCTGACCCTTACTGTTTAAGTCGACTTGTTTAGCTGAAGGCTTCCGGTCAAGTATCCCCGCCATATGGTACTCCGTCGTGTCACGTGCGTGCACGATAACTAGCTAGCTAAGCATTCACTTCAACCCGCGGTTTGGTCCCGAAATATATTACGTACTTTGAACGACTAAATCTGGTCTTTTGCTTTATCTTTGGTACTCGAAGAGCGAACACTATAGAAGTTGTTGGTATAAGATCTTGCGTTAGTATACTCCGTACAGTTCGCGAACGTCGATACCATCAACCTCCAAATGACAAAACAAGACTAAAAGTAAGCATTCCGAAAGCCTGCACATCTGTTAACCGATATAATTTCCACTAACTGGTGTACACCAAACTGCTCGCTTTTTGGTTCTAAGGTAAAGGTTTCCGGTCGCTAGTAAACTTCTGTTTAATATGTCCCAACAATCGTTTGTCGTAGCTTTGCTCGACTTCAGGGGAGTATTGCAGGGATTTGTTATATAAGATTTCTAGTAAGTGTGTCACCGTTGTAAATGGAGTTAATCTTTCAGACCGTTAGTAGTCTGATGTGGTTGAAAATGGGTAGTAGTAGTAGTAATAATAATAATAAGTATTAGTGACAATAGTGATGTCGTTTTTCATCGCTTAATAGTGATTATAAGTGATGCGTATTATGTCGTTGACTTAAAAAGGAAGAGAAAATTTGATAACTAAATAAGGAAATGACTTAACAGAAACAGTTAGAATAATAACAGTGATAAAGTAGGTGAATGGATCGGCAGATTAATCAGAAGAGTAAGACAAGGGAGAAAGGGCACCAGTAAATGATGGGTTTAGGTTTATACGCATTAATCGTGTGATGTGTAAGGATTTGGACACAGTCTCTGTTTTAATACATGACTAGATAGCCTCCGCGTAAAGCTTTCGAAGGAAGGTGTAGTATCCAAAGCTACTGGTAAAGGGTTTCACGGGCGGAAAACTCGAAATGAAACGAAATAGAGGCGCAATCGAGTCTCTGCTTCCCAAACCTCTATCCTTCATGGATCGCATAAGGAAGCCTGTGATAATCTGATGGTTGAATACCATTGATTGGGTGAGCCAGGTCATTTACAATCATGTAGACACTAATTAGGTCGCTTCTAGGCCAGTAATAATAATAATATATTCTCATTTTGTACATGAGGGACGCCAGTTTACAGGCATCATCAATATGATAAATTACATATACGATTAGTAAGCATATTTAATAAAAGTAATTTGATAAAATACATTTTTTCCTACCTGTGTAGGACACACCAATTGTACATGCATGGATTAGTATTATTTAAATTACATAAATTTGGTTTATGGTGAAATTACATGGTTGCAGTCTTTTTTGTCTTCGGTTTGTGGGAACAATATGATAACTAGTCATTCAATAGAGCACATCAAGAAATATAGCTGAGCGTTGAAGAACCCCCTTTCTTCAGCTCTTCGTCACATATTTTATTCCAGAGACCCGTCACCCCTGTTGTTTCCAATCTTTGTTGCTTTTCAAAAGATCGGGGGCCCTTCTAAATGACGAGAGGAGGATGACACTGAGTATTTTATGATGAGGTTTTTCGTATGTTCCGTGCAACCTTAGAAAAAGCTCATGAGGGGGCGTGCCCAACTGCTTATGCATGAAGCGCATAATCACATATGCCCTCGCTACATCACCCGAGCAATTCACAGCTGTGTCTATGTTTCCCATCAAAAAGCAATCCGAGTGGCTCAGGAAGTGACTTGCACTCCACGGCCCACAGGTGCGCAGTTGTTCTACCTCACATGTTTTCAGCACGAAAGTCATTTCGGTGACTGGTGTCCGGTCTTCCAGAATTTTCGGGTCTCCATTAAGACTCCAAGCACTCCACTGCCCTCCAAATCTTTGCGTTGCCTGCGCGAATTAGAGCCGGGAATCTTTGATATAAATCAAAAACACTAGGAGGTCTAAAATCGAACTCCATGAAACCTCCCATTCCGAACTATTCCGGAATTATCGGACACAGTTAGCGTCGGTGCATAACTCTCTCTTTGAGGTAGTCCTCCGGCCATCAGAGAAGTGGGCCACTAACACCCATCTGTCGTTCTTTGTGAAGGAGGGCATCATTCTGAACCGTGTCATATATCTTCGCGAAATGAAGGAAGATCAAATGGACTAAAATATTCATATTCCGGAAATAATGTCAAATCATTCCAAGCCAGTAATAGGTTTATAACATAGGATCTACCACTCCTCAAACTATTTTGTGCTTCATGAAGTATACTGGTCCTGTCGCAGTGTTTCTTGATACGATCATTAACCAGAATTTCCAGCACCCTAGTTACATCTCTATGTAGCACCACTGGTCTGTGACTTTTTCCCGTTTTGCTTATCCCCACTCTTCAAGACAGGAGCAAAGGTTGGCCTCCTAGACTACCTTAGTAGTTCCTCTGAATCAACAGAGTGTTGTAACACGCAACAAAGCCGCCCAAATACGGCCTCTGCACACTGTTTCAGAAAGGATGGTCTTTTATCATAAAAAACTGAGGTTTTTGCAGGGGTTATTATTTATTATTTTTTAATTTTTGTTTACAGCTTGATTCCACACAGTACTTTTGGTAGAAGTATGGAATTTTCAGCATGGATATCGGTAGCCCAAATTTTACAGGCCGACCATAGATATCGGGTGTGCGTCGGCAGGGGATCGAACCCCGGACCATGTGCATGGTCGGCGGGAGTCCTGACCACTGTGCTACCGACGCAGCTTCGTTAGTACCATTGGGGGTTCTTTAAGGGTGTATCCATTAGATTTTTTGGCAGTGTAGCAGTGCAATCCTTATGGCTTATAGTTGTAGCACCTCTAACGCTATTCAATTTTCTGTTAAAGGCAGAAATGAATATTTGGGCTACTCCCACGCTAGTGAGATGTTGACCACCTAGCCCACCTGGCACGACCTCCTGTCACCCAGGACCTTTGTGTTGCGACGGTTCCTGAGTTTCAGGCGTGCCTCATGGTTAGTCTTAATCCTGTAGAGCCCCTACGCAAGCCAAGCTTTCTGCCTCGCTTGTGGAATACACAGAGCTCCTCTCTTCAGCCACGAGGACTGCCTCCTAAATTGTAGTGTGACTACAGGTGTGGTATATGAGATTCCTGTGTGAATTATCCTTTTCACCATTTCCTGGAATGCATCTATTGAGAGCCGAGCCCATCTTCATCAGACAAAAGTCTTCGCGTTTTTGTGTCATCAGCTTTGCTATGCCACAGATAGGGTCACGTAGTATCCTACTGAAGGCCCTCGTGAAGAACCAGATCAGATACATGTGACCACACGGTCACTGTCACCTGGAAGGGTCATAAGCTGAGCGTTTTCTATAAGCCACTGGCTACATTTGGGGATATGATCAGGTTTTCATAACTTTCCACTATGGCTCCACCTAGTGTTGTCTCCAACGTTCTCAACCAATCTGGAATTTCCAACGGTGTGCAGTAGACTTCGGTCGAATTTTCCTCAATCCCAGGTTGAAGAATTTTGCACTGGGGTCTCTGGCGGCACTGAGTTGGTTATAACCCAAGTTCCGTATCCTTGTGATAATGCTGAGAAGCAGCTGGTTATGTTCTGCTCCACAGGATCGGCAGATGCCATCCAATAAGTGCTTGATATGACTGACAGTGAAGTGAAATCCTATGGAGCCTGGAAGTTAATTAGGTGGTTGGTCGGATGCTCGCACTCATCTAATCTACTTATCGGTGTATGTGACAACATTCCTCCTTCTTTGTGACCCTCCTGATCAGGTCTGTTAGAAGAAGGAAGGACTCCGCTATTCGCCGACGTCTTTTCATGATCGACGCTTACGCGGTGAATTAAAGGATCATTTCCACCAGAAACTGTCGAGTTTTCTGCGAAAAACAGAAAGCTCATACAAAATCGTTTTGGCAGGCGACTTCAATTTGGATTTTCAGCACAAATGTGGAGTTAACCAGCTCTTATTTAAGGTCAGAAACTTGGCGCACGAGTCACGAAGAGCATTTCGAACAGTTATTTGAGAAATTTTGTCAACGACAAAAGGCACTCAGTGCCTTAGTAGGGAAGTTATGCCGGACTGAGAACTATACTGGTGGTACCTACGAAGTTCTGTGCCTAGGAACGGACAACAGTGATCGTCTTCCACGGTTCTGCTGAAGTTATCATCTGTTCTTAGTCAGCGCCATTTTCAGACACAAACAGAGACACTGGATGACCTGGGGGCCCTCTTCACCAAGCAAACGATGCACCCAAATGGACCGCATAACGATAGGCAATCCTTGGTAAAGGTCATCGGACGATTGCCGCTCCTTCCGGAACGTGTGCACATAGCCTGATCCTGCCCCAATTCAAAGATGTTCATCCTTGAGATCAAACGGACATAAGATACAGACAGCAATGGGGCCGCTACGCCCTCCCCCCACAATACGATCGGGACGCTGTGTCCTTATTCAAGGAAGAAATAGTTAAAAGAGCATCTGAGAATGACAGCTGCAATCCATCTGAGGAAGCTTGGCACAAAATCTGGTCAGCTGTGTGCACAGCTGCAAAGGCCGGTAATAGCCTGAATTCAAAGGTTGATAAAAGCTACTGGATTTCCGCTGCCTCACCCGAACTGATAAATGCAGGACTGATACTAGCGAGCTCCAAATAAGATGAGGAGCGAGATCCACCAAGACTCCAACTGGCAAGAAGTCTTCGCGACGACTATGAAAAAGAGCTGGAGACAAGAGTGAAAGGGGCGGGAGAGGCGTCAGCGATAGGTAGCATCAGAAAACTATTTGGGTGTACTAGGTAGATGGGTGATGAAACGCAAATGATAAGCGAAACAATCTCCTGGAAAAATGGCACCATAATTAGCTTTCAGGATAGACGACTAGGACGGTAGAAAGAACACT